TATCTGTACATCCCAAAGAATTTAATTTCTATTATATACAATTAATAATATATACAAAAGTGATTACTTTCTCTGAAGTCTTCCAGGTACCCAACAACTATTAACATTTTTAAACAATTCTAACAAATTGCCTAAAATTTGTGGTTGATGATGGTCAGAAATGGTAGTTGAAATCGCCCCTGGCTTTTTAATGCTTACAAAAGCCAACTGAGGCAATAACCACACCTGATACTTCTGAGCTATCCAGAGAGACATACAACAACTTTCCAACATCCATATTTTTTTCTTCTTCCCTCTCTCCCTTTCTCATTTCTACTACCTATTTCATTTTGCTTTTTCTTCAGTTAGCTACTGACACCTACTCAAAACTAAAGCTATTTCCCTAGTACCTTTCCCTCTACTTGCCAAGCTCCAATTAGAAAAAAGAAAACTGGCTGGGCATAAACGGCTCATGCCTATAATCCTAGCACTTTCAGAGGCTGAAGCAGGATGATTCCATGAGGCAGGGAGTTCAAGACCACTCTGGGAAATATTGTAAGACCCTGTCTCTACAAAATAATTTTTAAAAATTAGCCAGGAATGGTGGCACACACCTGTAGTCCCAGCTACTTGGGAGGATGAAGCAGGAGGATAACTTGAGCCCAGGAGATTGAGGCTGCAGAAAGCTACAATCATGCCACCACACTCCAGAGAGAGAACCTGTCTTTAAAAAGAATAAAAAATAAAACTAAACAAATAAAACAGATATGAAATCTCTTTAAGAAAAAAATACGTTTATTTTTCACTGCTTAACTTTGCAATTAAAATTATACATGTTGTCTGCCAACACTTTTTGTCCACTGTTTATTTCATTAATTCTTGAGTTATAAACTTTATAAGGCATAGACTTTTTTTAAATAAATGTCTTTAAAAAAATTTTCCCATCCTAGCCAACATGGTGAAACCCCGTCTCTACTAAAAATACAAAAATGAGCTGGGCGTGGTGGTGCATGCCTGTAATCCCAGCTACTTGGAAGGCTGAGGCAGGAGAATTGCTTGAACCAGGGAGTGGGAGGCTGCAGTGAGCCAAGATAATGTCACTGCACTCCAGCCTGGCAACAGAGCGAGACTCCACCTCCAAAATAAAAAAATAAATAATAAATAAATAAATAAAATAAAATAAAATAAAATTCAAATTTTTTAGGCTCCCAAAAGAGTTTAAAAAACAACTCATGTATTCACCACCAAACTTAAAAAAAATTACATGGCTAGCAGGCAATAGAGGGCAGTGTTTAAATAAGTTAAAATATGTGATTTACTCCGCACAGTACTCAGCATATGGTAACATTACCACTTTAGATATGATTACTAGCACAGAGCATGTACTCAAACAAGATTTCTGGATTTGTTTCACTTTCTATTCTGTACGGAGAGACAGATTTAAACCAAATTTGAGATACTGTTAAGGATTTAAAGATATGCATTAAATTCGATTCACTATTTGGTCTTTAAACAAAATGTTGCCATATTTTTGCAATAAGATATCTTTTGTGTAGGTTTACACAAGTTATATTATTGCTAATTTTTATTAAGCTACAATTTTAAAGTGCACGTATGCTACTGCTTTGAAAAATTATTTTTAATATACCTTAATGACACTGCAAATTTCTAGATGGGATTTGTAAAACTGGGTTTTCAATCTGAACTTTGCAAACACTGTGAAACTGCTTGGACAATATTTTATGTGTTCATGTACATTTTTCGGCAAGAAAAGTCTGTAGCTTTCACTACTGAAAAGAATCTCTAACCTCCATCCTTGCAGAGCAAATAAGCACTGAGATAAAAGAAATCACATAACTTTACAATAAAACTAATTGGACAAAACTTGAAACGAAATATCCTTGACGTAGTTTTTCTCATTATAAAAGATGACTTTTTTCCTGATTATGTAACTAATACATGTTTACCATTTTAAAAAAAGTTCATCTTGCTATAATAAATAATATGAATATATATCACAAAAAGCACAATATAATAGGTATTTTGGAATTTTTCAGTGCACAGGTCCAACTTCATAGTACAATATACTTAATACTGTATAAACTTCTATTTCATGATGGTAAATAAATCTGATATTATAGAAAGCTCTGCAAGAACTACTGGGACTTTGTAAAAATTTGCTATACATTGAATTTAACACTCTGGCTACTCAGTAATATAATAAGTGTTTCAAAAAAGTACGTATTTTGAAAATTGCATTTTGAAACGTAAAAATGAAAGTCTTACTTAAGGACAAAATAAAATGCATCTGAGATAATGTTAAAAGACTTACTTCAAAATAAGTCCTTATGTTTCAAAATTATTTTTTATAATATAAAAAAGGAATCTGATTTTCTCCATCAGAATAAAAATCAAAGGTCAAAAAAAGGTACATAGAGTACACATTCAGTAACCAGAAAATACTAACGAATTGAACATCTTAGTGAGTCACATAATAAAATGTTTCAGTTAGTCATGGAGTGACACCCTGGGCACTACTGACAGGGCAAATAATCCTGAACACACATCTACTACCCTTTGCCACACATTCACCTGATGAAACTATCCTTATATTGCTACTTGTTTACATTTAGAAAATAATGGAGCTTAAAAAAAATAGCACTGAAGTTACAAATGTAAAACATACCCAATACAAAACTTGGTCACTGTGATCACTACAAATTCCAAACGTTTTTCCTCACTCTTATTCTTTTCTTGTTAAGGAAAGAGGCTATTCCAATCCCCTGCAGTTTCTGTTATCAAATGCAAGATATACAAGGGCAGTAGGTCCTGTCTGTTCTCGTCAACATGTTACATACAGCACCTTGGACAGTGCCTGGTACAGGAGAGACACTCAATAAATATGTGAGCAATGAAGAAAAAAGAAATACAAGAGACAGTTTGGGGACTGGAATGGGAGGTAGGAGTCAGGAACAGAAAATAAAACAAATATAAGTGAAATAATACTGGGAAAATGTCACTCATGTTGTCAAATCAGAAATAAATTTAAGCTGAGAACAATGCATTATTTTTCTTTAATACTTTACAAGAGGATGAATAGCCCTATCTCAGGCTGTATGCAACATTAAATTCCAAAATAATTTCTAATTTAAAAACAGCATTGAAGAATAATTTTTGAAGTACTTTCTTGTTTGTTTTCAGAAGTCTCCCTCTTGTCCTCCAGGCTGGAGTGCAATGGCGCGATCTCAGCTCACTGCAACCTCCGCCTCCTGGGTTCAAGTGATTCTCCTGCCTCAGCCTCCCAAGTAGCTGGGATTACAGGCATGTACCACCATGCCCAGCTGATTTTTATATTTTAGTAGAGATGGGTTTTTGCCATGTTGGCCAGGCTGGTCTTGAACTCGTGACCTCAAGTGGTCTTCCTGCCTCAGCCTCCCAAAGTGCTGGGATTACAGGTATGAACCCACCATGCCTGGCCTGAAGTACAATTTTTTTAAAGCTCATTAACTTGTTATTATTTTGTAAAAAAAAATAAGTTGGAAAAAATTTATATAATTAATTTTTTGGGTACAAATTTATGCATAAAAAATTTCTGCAAGAACGTAAACTATTAACAATCATTTTCCCTGGGAAGAACTGAGGGGCCTAATGCACAAAGAAGGGAGCTTTTATCATTTACTTATATGCTTTTGTACTGTTTGAATTTTTTGTTTTTACAATCAATATGTACATTTTATAATAAAACTCATTTAAAAGGAAAATGTCCAATTTGTATTTGTGAAACAGGTAGAAATTCAGAAATTGCAATCTCTTATATTGATTGTCGATAATATTAAAGTTTGCATTCTGCTTTATAGAAAGCCAGGGTCTTGCTATGTTGCTCAGGCATGAACTCCTGGGCTCAAGCAATACTTCCACCTTGGCCTCCCAAAGTGCTAGGATTACAGGCATGTATCACTATGTCTGGCCCAAACTACCATGGCTGGCCTGCACTTTCTATTTATTCTCTCTTCACTAAAGTAACAAAGTGGGAAATTAAATAGATTAGGACAAAAGAAAGTGAAACAGACTAGGACAAAAGAAAAACAAAACATATAGATCCGCCTCCTCCAATTCAGGAAAAAATATTATACTCAAGAAAAGAAAATTTTCCAAAAGCTCAAATCACAAACACCTATCTGTTAGTTTCTGTTATATCTTTATTATCATTGAACACGTGTTCAAATTTAGGGTTTCAAGGTCTCCACAAAAGATAACTATTATATATTTAGTGCAACCAGGTACAAGACAGGCTCAAAAACAAAAAAAACTGAATTGTTCATTCTAATAATAATCTACAGAATCCTTCTACATAAATTTAAAAAATAATCTCAATAGGGACATCCTAAGTAAAGGAATATCAGAGAATGTTATTATAGGTGGGCTGGCCATAAACTTGTAAAATGTAATTTTTTAGCTCTTTTTTTTATGAGATGGAGTCTAGCTCTGTCACCCAGGCTGGAATAGTGGCATGATTTCGGGCTCACTGTATCCTCCACCTCCTGCATTCAATCGATTCTCTCGCCTCAGCCTCTAGACTAGCTGGGACTACAACAGGCATGTGCCACTACGCGTGGGTAATTTTTCATATTTTTAGTAGAGACAGGGTTTAGCCATGTTGGCCAAGCTGGTCTTGAACTCCTGACCTCAAGTGATCTGCCCTCCTCGGCCTCCGAAAGTGCTGGGTTTACAGGCGTGAGCCACCATGCCTGGCCACTAGTTACTTTTTACTGTTGATATACTTAATTACAAAATGATAACTTTAAAAGGTATGGTTCTTGAACAATGACACATATATCAGAAGGTAATAATACTAAAAAAAAGATCTGTGAAAAAGCTTTCAAAATAAAAAATTCAAATATAATTTTAAAAAATGACATAGAAAAACTATGGATTTATCATGTGTAACATGTTTGAAATATCTATACATTGTGGAATGGCTCAATACAGCCAATTAATGTGCATTACCTTACGTGCTTTTCGGAAAAACCACTTAACATGTACTCAGTAACTTTCAAAATGCATTGTTGTTACAGTCACCAAGCTGTACAATAGATCTCTTGAACTCAGTTTCCTTGTCTAACCGAAATTTTGCATATTTTGACCATCTCCTCAATCCTCCACTGCCCCAACAGCCCTTGATAACCAAATTCTGTTCTCTCCTTCTATGAGTTCAACTTTTTAAGATTCCACATGTAAGTGAGATTATGCAGTATTTGTCTTTCTAAGCCTTGCTTATTTTACTTAACATGTCCTCCAGGTTATCACAGATGAAAGGATTTCCTTGTTTTTAAGCATTAAATAACTATTCCATTAACACCATTTTTAATATATTTAAATTATATCCATTTTGGAAGTAGTAACAGCATGCTTTGATGGTGGCTCACTAGAAGACACTGTATCAGAAATCCACAAATTAAGCAATTGTTTCTTATGATGTGCATCATTTTCCTGGTTGGCCTGTTCATCCAGTGACTTTCTTATACAGTTCTTTAATTCTTCGATTCCTTCTCCAGTAACTGCAGATATGGGGATGATATGTTGGAACCCTACAGTCCTCTCTGGAGTCATGTTTTTTCCAAATAAATGCAGAAAATCTAAAAGAAAGAACATAAACTAAGCAGATTTTCATTGTTTTTGAAAGTTAGTTAAAACTTTGGTTTGATTTGTGAAGCAGGGAACCAAAAACTTAGCATTTTTCATGCCTTTCTTCCCCTTTTCTCTCTAATTAAAGTTCTCAGAGCTTTGGATTTTACTATTGATTATGGTAAGGTTCTTGGCACAAAATATACTTGTTAGATGAATATATTTTAAACCAAACTAAGTATGAATAGAAGATGAATCACAAAAACGACTTACTTAAGGAAGTAATAAATTTTGTGTAGGGGGTTAAATAAGGCAAGGCAGCACTGATTCTCTGAAAGACATTTTCTGTAAAAATAGTAACATCATTTATAATTTGAGACATTCTACTTGGCCTCAGGACACTGGAGACCTCTAACTTCCCGAAAGTATAGATCATCAATGATGCTAGGATCCATACAAAAACTGAAGAGGTATTATAGAGAATTCAAGGGAAGATAATTTCAGATGAGTCCAATCTATCACCCCAAATGGGCTAACAACTGTTATATTACTTTTACCTTTTCCCTGTCACCATGGCATACTGATTGGCTGGGGAGATGGCATACTGATTGGATGGATTAACTGATATGAACTAGAAAGGCTGAACTGAAACAGATTGGTGGAAAAGACAACATGGAGCTTGCTTTCTGAGATTCAAAGGTCCCCAAGAAAGTCCAGAGAGGCTAACTCAGGATTATCACTAAAGGGCCTATATTTTATTTCACAATAGATCAGAACAACTATGGACTCCTGAGTCACCCCCACTTTTGGTACTTCCTCTGAAAATTCCCTTCTCTGCAAGATCAACTAGCAAACAGAACTAATGACCTTATAAAGCAAATGTCATTAGGAATGAAGACTATTTACTATTAGGGATTATTTATATCCCATGAGTAATTTATTAACTCAAGGACAGCTCCAACATGTAAATTACACAGGGGAAAGATTTTTGAGAGGAAAGGACCTTCTGGTGCTGTTTGACAGTCTTAGCACACTATAATCTATTTTCCCACAATTGTTACCAAGAATAAAAAGAGACATATTACTGAAAAACATGTTAGCCACATACCATACACCCTACTTTTCCTCATTTGTGCATGAGGTTCTTTACTAGACTCTGAATGAAATCATCATTGCCATAGGATACAAGGTGTTCTGAAAATGTCAATATTCAAAACTGTGGAGAATCCCTTTAAGTTACTTTACATATAGTCCAAGAAGTAAATTCCAGACAAATAAATCATTTTGGAGTCACAGCTTCTATTTTTCTGTGTCACACATACACAGGAAAAATGCAGTTCTTTTCAGAAGACTCATCCTCTTCAGAAACTATCTATAGAGTTAGTTTTGCCAAGAAACATACTTCTTTAGAACTTCTTAATTCTGTTTTTAATTTTATGATGTACAGTACTAGGGGAATGAAGAGCTTGTAAAGTATGCTAATGAAAATGAAAGACTTCACAGGGTAGATGTTGACTTTTTCCTCCTTTTATTCAAATCCCGCAAACGCTTTATGGGCCCAATTTAAGTTTTATTCTTCATGAAGCCTACCTTTTTAGTTCAAATTAATCTTTCTTTTGTCTCCTTTAATTTACTGTCCATATCAAACATTCTAGAATTTGATAATTATTATGTTACAATGTTATTTATATGTTTTGTACATTCTTTGTTCAAACGTGATTTTTAAGAGCAGAAACTGTCAGTTTTCTTTTCCACTGATTATAACAGCATTCTCTGTACATTGTAATTATTCTTTAAATTAGAATTAAATGAATAAATAGGCTTACCTTTAGGATTCTGGAGCTGGTTCATCAATTCATGGAACTTACTTTGGGCATCTGGCAAGTCCATTTTATTAACTGCCAAGAGTGCAGGTTTTGTCTGAAGTTCCTCTTTGTACAATTCCAACTCCTTTAAATCAAAAGAGAAAACCCAATAATTTTAGTATTGGTTTCTGTATAAACTACTTGTTTGGTAATTAATGACCTAGGTGATCTAAAGCCCATTCACGTCACTGAAATGCAATAAATCCCAACAACAGAAAACAAAAGGAAGAATTTCAAAAAAATGATTCTAGTTAGATCAAGTGTTAGTATGTTTTAGCTTAAATGATATCCTAGTGACAGTTGTAATTTTGTGTCTGGAGTCAAATATGGGTATCTGGACTTCACACAGATAAAATTCGGAAGTCAGTAATGATCACTGAATGTTATACCTGTAGTATTCTTGGAAAAAGTAAATGTACTTAGGAATAAATCTCTGTCGCCTTGGATTAAACAACCGTTTCTTAGATATAACATGAAAAGCACAAGTAAAAGAGTAGATAAAAGGCGGAAGCCTGCTTAAGGCTACCAACCAGGAGTTTGAGGCTGCAATGAGCTAGGATCATGCCTGCACTCTAGCCTACATGACAGTATGAGGCCCTGTTTGTAATAAAAATAAATAAATATATAAGGCTGGGCATGGTGGCTCATGCCTGTAATCTCAGCACTTTAGGAGGCTGAGGTAGGAGCATCACTTGGGCCCAGGAGTTCAAGACAAGCCTTGACAACTTAGTAAGACCTCATCTCTACAAAACACTTTAGTTTAATTTAAAAAAAGGAAAGAAAAGAATGAAACAAATGGAATTTCATCAAAATTAAAAATGTTGGGTTGTTTTCTTGCTATTGAGAGTTGTTTTGCTTCCTTATGTTTTGGATAGCAACCACTTATCAGTTATATGCTTTACAGGTATTTTCTCCCATTCCCTTGGTTGCCTCTTCACTCTGCTGATGATTCCTTTTGCTGTGCAGAAGCTTTTTAGTTTGATGCAATCCTACTTGTCTATTTTTCTTCTTGTTGCCTATGCTTTGAGGTCACATTAAAAAAAATAATTGCTCAGACAAATGTCATGGAACTTCTCTGTTTTCTTCTAGTGGTTTTATGGTTTCAGGCTTTGAGTTTATGTCTTTAATCAACTTTGAACTGATTTTTCACATGGTGTGAAATAAGGGTCTAATTTCACTTTTCTGCATGTGGAAATTCAGTTTTTTCAATACCACTTATTGACGAAGAAAACTGCCCTTTTCTTACTGTGTGTTCTAGGTTCCTTTGTTGAAAATTAACTGTAAATGCATGGATTTAATTCTGAGCTCTGGATTCTGTTTCATAGGTTTATGTGTCTATTGTTATGCCAGTAACACGCTGCTTTGATTACTATAGCTTTGTAGTAGGTTTTGAAATTAGGTAATGTGAAGCTTCCAGCTTTGTTCTTTTTTGCTCAAGATTGCTTTGGCTATTCAGCGTCTTTTGTGGTTCCATACAAATTTTAAGATTTGTTTTCTATTTCTGTGAAAAATGCCATTAGAATTTTGATACAGATTGTGCTGAATCCATAGATCGCTTTGGGTAATAGAAACCTGATTTAAAAATGGATAATGAACCTGAATTGACATTTCTCAACAACATAAAAATGACCAATATGTGAATATGTGTATGAAAAAATGTTCAACATCACGGATCATTAGGGAATGAAAAGGAAAACCACAATGAGATAGCTCCTCACATTTGGAAGGATGGCTATTATCAAAAAGACAAAAGAAAACAAGTGTTATCAAGGATATGGAGAAAGAAGAACGCTTGAACACTGTTGGGTGGGAATGTAAATTAGTACAGCCATTATAAAAAGCAGTATAAAGATTTCTCAAAAAATTAAAAATAGAACTACCAAATGATCCAGCAATCCCACTTCTGGATATATATCCAAAGGAAATAAAATCAGTATGTCAAACAGATCTCTGCACTCCCATTTTTACTGAAGCATTATTCATAATAGCCAAGACATGGAATCAACCTCAGTGTCCATCAATGGATGAATAATGAAAATGTGATATACACACACACAACTGAATACTCTTCAGCCTTAAAAAAAGAAACCTGTCATTTACAACAACATGGATGAACCTGGAGAACACTATGCTAAGTGAAATAAGCCAAGCACAGAAAAACAAATAAACTGCATAATCCCACTTATACGTGGAATCTTAAAAGGTTGAATTCATAGTAGCAGAGAAAATGGTGGTTGCCAAGGTGTTTGGGGGAGGAAGGATGGAGGGGTGTTGGTCAAATGGAACAAAGATTCAGTTAAATAGGATGAATAAGCTCTGATGACTATAGTTAATGTATTATATATTTGAAAATTGCTAAAACACATTTTAAATGTTCTCAGCACACACAAAAAAATGTAAGATGACAAATCGTGTTAATTAGCTTGATTTAATCATTTCACGATGTACACATATATCCAAATATCAATTGTACACTTTAAGTACACACAATTTATGTCAATTACACTTTAACAAAACTGGAAAATTAAATAAATAAATGTTTTTTGCCACAAAGAAGACACAAAAAATACACTGAAAAAGTGAAAAGACAAGTCACAGAAGGGGAGAAAATATTTTCAAATTATGTATCTTATTTCCAGCCAGGCATAGTGGCTCACATCTGCAATCCCAGCACTTTGGGAAGCCGAGGTGGCAGATCACCTGAGGTCCGGAGTTCAAGACCACCCTGGCCAACATGGTGAAACCCTGTTTCTACTAAAAATAAAAAATTAGACAGGTATGGTGGCACGTGCTTGTAATCCCAGCTACTCAGGAGGCTGAGGCTGCAAAATCACTTGAACTCAGGAGGCTGAGGCTGCAAAATCACTTGAACTCAGGAGGCGGAGGTTGCACTGAGCCAAGATCGTGCCACTGCACTCCAGCCCGGGCGACATCTCAGAGAAAAAACCAAAAAAAAAAAAAAAAAAAAAAAAAAAAAGAAGGGACTTATCTCCAAAAATATAAAACATGCTTACAACTCAACAATTAAAAGACAAATAATACAAATAGTAATGCACACAGAATCTGAACAGACTTTTCTCCAAAGACACAAAAATGGCTAATAAGCACATAAAAACATTCTTAGCATCAGTAATCTTAAGAGAAATGCAAATAAGAACTATAACAAAATACCACTGCACTCCCACTAGGATGACTAAAGTAAAAACGACAGACAATAACAAGTGTTGACATTTATGTGGAAAAATTGGAACTCTCATACATTGATGGTGGGACTGTAAAATGGCACAATGGTGCTACCAATTCGGAATAGTTTGGCAGTTCCTCAAAATGTTAAACAAATAATTACCATCTGATCCAGCAATTCCACTCCTAAGTATATATCCAAGAGAAATGAAAACACGTCTATACAAAAACCTGCACACAAATGTTCACAGCAGTATTAATCATTATAGACAAGAAGTGGCAAATCAAATAGGATCTATAAAGTCCTGGAGGTAAGCAACATCATGTTGTCAGCTATGAGAGAAATCACATGGTTGAAATATAGCATCTAGGGGACAGGGTTACGGAGGACTGCTAGGCAGGGGCCCAAATTTGCAGATTTCATAAATCATGCTCAGGTTAGACTTTAACCTAACAGCTATGGGGGTCCATCAAAGTGTTTTAGGCAGGGAACATCAGCATCAGCTTGGTGCTTTTACAAAGATCACTCTAGCTGCCATATAAAAAATGGACTAGAGAGAAGCAAGGCAGGACACAGGGAGACTGGACACGACCAGATTCAATATTCCAGTAAGAAGGACTGATGATTATAACAGTGTAGATGAAGACAAGAGGATGGATTTCAGAGAGATTTAGGATTAAAAACTGACAGCACTTGTGTAGGTGGTGAGAAGAATCAGTGTATCACATAGCTCATACATTCACTAAGTTATGGGGATGGCTGAAAAGTTTTTTAAAAGTTTACTTTTATCTATATTAAGTTTAAGTGACTAACGGGACATCCAAACAAAGAAGACGTCCAATGGGCATCTGGTATAAAGAACAACAAAAGCTGGGTGCGGCGGCCCACACCTGTAATCCCAGCACTTTGGGAGGCTGAGGCAAGTAGATTACCTGAGGTCAGGAGTTCGAGACCAGCCTGGCCAACACGGTGAAACCCCGTCTCTACTAAAAATACAAAAATTAGCCAGGCGTGGTGGCACACGCTTGTAATCCCAGCTATTTGGGAGGCTGAGGCAGGAGAATCACTTGAGCCTGGGAGACAGAGAGAGCTGAGATCATACCACTGCACTCCAGCCTGGCAGACAAAGCAAGACTGTTTCAAATAAAAAAAAGAACAATGAAAAGATCTAGGTATCAGCTACAGATCTGGCAGTTATCAGTATTATTAATCGTAACTAAAGCAATGAGAGTGGGTAAGATTGCAAAATAAGGTTAGGACAGAACTTTGAATAATGTTACTTAAAGGATGAGGAAAAAAAAGAGCCTAAAAAGTAGACTGAGAAATACTGTTAAGAGTAGAAATAGAACCAGAAGATTACAGGTCACAAAACTAAGAATGAGAAACAAGAAGAATTAGACAACGTGCCAAAGCTGAAGCAAGATAAAAGTCTGGGAAAGTATGTAATAGGGATTTGGAAGCCCAGGAGTATTTTGTCCATTGCAGTAGTTTGAGGAGTAAACAAATGTAGAGGAACTGGAGACAACAAGTTTAAGTAATTCTTTAACTGACATCAAAGCTTTAAAGGCAGAGTATGTATAGACTGTAATTATGTTATTTCATATAGTCTTATATTCCTACATATTAGACCAAATACAGAACACAGTAAAAAGAAAACCTACTTTTGTAAGTAGTATTATGGTTTCAAAAGCAGTTCTGTATTGAGTGTGAGAAGAAAGCTGAAATCCAGAAATATCAACCTAAAAAAAGAGAAGGAAAGAGACAGCCTTTAACATAAGAATAGCTATACATTTCTATATTTTAATATGTTTTACTCTCTCAAGCTAAAAACAATTTCTCTGTACTCTACTTGTTATTTAGTAATTCAAAATAAGTAACGGAAACAGAGATGTTAAGATAACTTTAATTATGCTGATAAAATTACAGTCATTAATAAAAAACTAGGATAAGACAATTTGTATGAATAAAGACAATCTCATATATAACTCTAGCACCATCAATGAAGAATGAAAGAGATACTATGATACTATATAATACAGTAGTATGTTGGAACTCTTAAGGAAATACATGTTGGCAAGTATGGCCAAACTTACATATGATATAGTAAACAATGTCACTTCCATCCCCGTATTATAAAAGACTTAGTGGAGTAACATATGCTACCACTTTCTTATTTATAAAAAAATTCTTAGAAAAACTAAATTCATTGGTTTTCAATTTATTTGAACATCACCACATTAGTATGCATATGACTTACAACAAAAAGTAGTTGTCTAGTTCTTTCTATATGCTTGAGGAATTTGTGGCCCATTCCTTTGTTCATATGTGCTCCTTCTATTAAACCCGGAAGATCAGCTACTGATATCTAATACAAAGTTACATGGTTAATGAAAAAGGAAAATGTATGAAAACCATAAGTTCAATTACATCCAAAAATTCTCAAGATATTTCAAATATAAACAGTTCCTAACTTATGATTACCACTAAATCTTTGAAAAGTCAAGATACTATAAAAGCAAAATTAATGTACAGTATTAAGAATTAAAATCTTGTTATCAGATATTAGAGTCCCATATTTACTATCAATCTAATAATCGAGGAATTTTATAGATTAGTTTAACATTTATTTATTATTATTTTAGAGACAGGATCTTGCTGTCACCCAGGTTGGAGTGCAGTGGTGTGACCATAACTCACTGTAGCCTCGAGCTCCTGGGCTCAAGCCATGTTCCCACCTCAGTCTCCCAAGCAGCTAAGATGCCAGGTGCGCACCGCCATGCCCAGTTAACAAAAAAAATTTTTGTAGAAACAGGGTCTCGCTATCTCGCACAGGCTGCTCTCAAACTCCTATCCTCAAGTGATCCTCTCACCTTAGCCTTCCAAAGTGCTGGGATTACAGGCGTGAGCCACCACACTAATCCCTAGTTTAAAATTTATTTGTAATGTCCTAAATGGTATTGTCCAATATGAACTTTTCATAGAATTTCAACCTTTACACTCTGAATTCATACAAGTTTACAAAGATATTAATTCAGCAGACATTTACCAGGTACAGCTCTGCATTTTAAATTCAATTTGTAAGGATCTGGCACCACTGTTCCTTTTCTGTTCATATTATACTAGCAGGATGATCAACCATTCTCACAAAGTATTAGGTTGGCGTAAAAGTAACTGTGGTTTTGGCATTATTTTTAACAGACTTTACTATATTAATAGAGGTGTGATTCTCCTCACCTGTTCTTTGTAGTGCCATGTTTGTTAATGCTTCACATTTTTGTAGGTCATTATTGTTTTTACTTAAGCAAATCTCATGGCATTACATGAGGAGCAGAGCTCTATCATCTAGAAGTTCATTCACCTGAGCATGCTTCCTTGTCACCTAGTCATCATCTCATCTTGTTCCAGTATTCAGGTAAGATCAGTCAGGTGAAACAGTATTCGACAAACCCGAGTTGTAGTTGTGGCTCTCCTACTTTCTTCTACTTTTGGCCATTACTTTTAATGGCCAAAACCACAGTTACTTTTGCACCAACTTAATACAAGAATACAGTTTCCTAGACTCCTTTTAGAGGGAATAATAATTATTAACCATCATTCTACATTTGTGGGTTTTTTTTTTTTCTTTTTTTTTGAGAAAGAGTCTCGCTCTGTCGCCCAGGCTGGAGTGTAGTGGTTCAATCTCAGTTCACTGCAAGCTCCACCTCCCGGGTTCATGCCATTCTCCTGCCTTAGCCTCTGGAGTAACTGGGACTACAGGCACTTGCCACCATACCCGGCTGATTTTTTGTTGTTGTTGTTGTATTTTTGTATTTTTAGTAGAGATGGGGTTTCACCATGTTAGCCAGGATGCTCTCAATCTCCTGACCTCGTGATCTGCCCACCTCAGCCTCCCAAAGTGCTGGGATTACAGGTGTGAGCCACCACGCCCGGCCACACTTGTGCTTTTCAAACCTCACTGTGCATCATAATCATGTAGGGAACTCTTAGAAGCTACAAATGCCCAGGCCCTACCCCCAAGAGATTTAGTTTCAAATCTCTGGGGCCTAAGCATCACTTATCATTGCTGTTCTTAGACCACCCAGATAATTCTGAAGTGCAATAAAGAATGAGAGGCAGTACTCGACATCCCCTGCCCAGTGTAGATAAAGAATTCAGGGTTTTAACGGAAGCTGACAAAGCAGCATGCATAACAGAAGTCTCATGTCCTGAAATTTCCTCTACTGATTTCTCTTAAAAATTAGGTATAAACGATGTTCTCTTTTCCTCTAAATATTGTTCTCTCTATTCATATTATCCTATATTTAATACAATTTTACTTACATTTAACATTCTATAACTGAAGTTTTATATTTTAATGTTATATCACTATTATAACGGCATATAATTTTTTAATGTTTCTTTAAATTACATCATAAAACTATATGAACCTATATTGATGCACCGTTAGCACCCAAAGTCTATACTTTACATTGTTTGATTCTTGATGCTGTACATTCTATGGATTTTAACAAACGTATACTGTGTCTACCATTACAGCAACAATATTATACAGTATCATACTTTACTATACATATCATACTTTATAGTATATCCTAAAAGTTCTCCGTACTCTGCGTATTCATCTCTCCTTCCTCCCTAACCCTGGCAGTCATTGATTTTACTGTCTCCACAGCTTTGCCTTATCCAGAATGTCATATAGTTGGAATCATACAGTCTTTTCAGATTGGCTTCTCTCAGTAATATGCATTTAAGGTTCTCCTAGATCTTTTTGAGGCTTGATACCCCAGTTCTTTTTAGAGTTGAATAATAATCCACTGTCTAAATATATACCACAGTTTATTTACCCATTCACCTACTGAAAGATATCTTGGCCAAGGTTTGGTAATTATAAATAATGCTGCTATAAGCATCCATGTGCAGACTTCTGTGTGTGCATAACTTTTCAATGTACAAGGGTAAATGCTAAGGAGCACACCTACCAGATTGTACATTATATTTTAAATATTGTTACTTTCCTTTTTTAAATTTATTCTAATTATGCAGAAGATTCACAGTTGTTACTTATGAAGGAAAAATGAATTTTAATAGCTGGTTGAGACCAAAACTCTATTAAAACTTTTTTTTTTTTTCAAAAAAAGAAAGTTGGAATAAAATTATTACCACGAACTTTAGAGAGTATTTTTAAAAAATGAAGAAAAATAATCCAATATAGTAGTAAAAGGAAGACTTGCAATAAGAAGAAACCAAGACCAAGAAGACATAATGTTGTAGGGATAAACTGGACCTAACCTTTGCAAGAAGAAATTAAATATTTTATTATGATAGTGCTCAGAATTAATCTGACCAGTTTCACTTATAAACAAAATCTTGTTACCTTTTCTCCCCTAACACCACAGAAACAGGCAAATACTATAAAATCCAAGTAAGTACCAAAACCAAGTCCTCTGACTTCTAATATAGTGTTTTACTTTAAAAACACCTACCTGTTTGAAATCACGGTACATAATCTTTCCAAGTTCAGGCTTTAATGTTGTAACTAAAAGAAAACATAGCAATAAATTAAGAGTAGAATTTATTTTAGGGCTGGTACTCTCAAAACTGTCTTGGCATTATGCGTGGAATAAACAATACTTCAATTCAGATTTGCTCTAATTTGCTAAAATGGAAACTATTATTATCTTTGCTATTTAACATGTACTTGGAGGGCCAAGTGTTGTGGCTCATGTCTGTAATCTCAATGCTTTGGGAAGTCAAGGCAGGAGGATCATTTGAAGCTAGGAGTTCAAGATGAGCCTGGGCAGCACAGTGAGACCCTGTTTCTACAAAAAATTTAAAATTAGGCAGACATGGCAGTGCACTTGTAGTCCTAGCTACTCCAGAGGCTGAGGTGGGAGGACTGCTTGAGCCCAGGAGTTCAAAGTTGCAGTGAGGTATGATGATCATGCCACTGTACTCCTGCCTGGGTGACACAGCTAGACCCTGTCTCTAAAATAAACAAACAAATAAATGAATAAATAGTATTTGGAAAAAGACAAATACAGATTTTTATCATCTGCATAGGCCTAATGTAATTACTGAACCTCAACGTTCTTCTATTGCACTTTAAGGTATGTGATAGACGTTCAGGAGGGTCAGATATTAGGTTTCTATCACTGGATCTGTGGGTGAAATTTTTCTAGTTCCTTCTCATTCAGTTATCCTCTAGTTCCTTCTCATTGTTATCCTTAAGCCTCATCAATCCCACACTAGCCTCTTTCCTATGACTAAAAGCTTTTCCTTCTCAAGTCCTACATATTATAACAAATATTGGCCTTGTTATTTATAGCAATTAGCCCAAACTTCACTCTACTTCGTCACAGTCTAATTTTAGAACGGCTTGATTTATTTTCCAAGTTAATGGCATTTTCTGTCCTTTTAATGATGGCAGAGATCTTATCATACTCATTACTTTTAACCAAAGCTTCTTTTATATCTCATCTAGCTACCACAAGAGCCTACTAACTGGTTTTCTCAGACCCCTTCATGTCCCATGCCAATCCATTTTCTATATTATAGGCGAAGATCTCCGTGAGGAGCAAACTTAAGCATTTTATCCCTTGCTTAAATGCTTCCAATTGCTCTTAAGATACAAAAATCAAATACAGCCTAAACAGTCTATGTGACATGCTCTCTTACACCTCCAGGCTCATCTCGATTCTTTCCCTTACTTCATGTTCTCTAGACACACAAATCTATTTCCTCTGATTAAAGATCCTTCACCCTCCACTCTATTTTACTAATTAACTTGTAATTATTCCTCATGTATCAGTCCAAAATCACACATCCTTAAGGAAGCCTAAAGCAGTCATCTACACTCTTTCATAGTATCCTTTTATATTCCCTTATATTTATCAGTGATATATATGCCTTACTCCAGTAGTCTAAAAACTCAATAAAAGTCAAAATAGGAGCTGTTTCTGTTTATCAGTCTTTGTAATCCCAGAACCTAATATGGCTTCTAAAAATAAGTATCTGCTAAATGAATGGAAGTACTCAACGCAGTCTTCCTCGTACTTATCACAGTGCCTGATAAAGGGTAAGTGGTTCATAAAATCCTAACTAAACCAAATAAACTACTATGCAACAGAAAAATAAATGCAATAAAGTGTCTAACCTGTTTAAGAAACTTTGCTGAGGGGTACAGAGGTTTCAAAGATCAATGGAAAATATGGCTGGGGAGGGTGGCTCACGCCTATAATCCCAGCAATTTAGAAGGCCAAGGTGGGAGATCACTTCAGCCCAGGAGTTCAAGACCAGCCTGGGCAACATAAGGAAACCCCTGTCCCTGCCCTGCCCCTCCCCCCGCCACACACATACAAAATTAGCTAAGCATGGTGGCACACACCTGTAGTCCCAGCTACATGGGAGGCTGGGGCAGGGGGATGGCTTTAGCCTGGGCTGCAATGAGCCATGATCATGCAACTGCACTTTGGCCTGTGCAACAGCACTCTATCTGCCAAAAGTTTTCCAACTAAGGATACCCTCAGAGTTGTCATTTTATTCATTCTCAGAGAAGTATTAGTCTTTAAAAGTTTACCTCCACTCATTAAAATATACAATCAAATTATACTTACATGCGTAATCTGCGATTGCAGGTTTTGCATGAGAAACACAACTTAGCAAAGAGGATTTTCCAGCATTTGGGAATCTGAAACAAGAATATAGAATTATACACAAATGTCAATATTATTATCTCTGAATTCCTAACAATTCAAGTAGTCTTCTTGAATATATTTGGGATTAAAAGTAGAATATAAATGTATTATAAATAATCTTGAAAAACTTGAGAACATACACTTGCAAAAAAGGTAAAGATAAATTCATGCTGGACCCTGAAGATGTTTCAGTACTGAAAGTGTATAATAATTATTCTAATTATGATTTAAAAATAAAAACCTGTTGGAAGTCATAGAAAACCAGAAAGAAATTAAAGAAAAAAAAGAAAAACACCTGCAACTTACTATCTCCAGCTAAACACTGACAAAATATTACATTGTCTTGTAAACTGCTTTAAAAAAAAATTTTTACAGAAATTTTCAAACATATATATACAAAAGTAGAGAGGTGTAATGAATTCCATTTAGCTATCACCCAGCTTCAACAAATATTAATACATTGGCAATACACTTCTTAAAATTTGATTTGAATAGAAACCCAAATAAGGTCTGTACGTTACAAATACCTGATGTGTCTCAAATCTCTTTTCAAGCTCCCCCTTCCATCTTGTTTCCCATCTGCAATTTTATTTTTAAAGAAACTGGGTCATTTGTCCTAGAGTTTCTTTTCCGAAGTCTTCATTTTTCTACTGGCACCTACATGGACACTTAACATGCTCTTTTTCCCTGTATTTTCTGTAAAAAATTTGCAGTTGTTACAGAGTCTTAACCATGTTCAAGTTTTAATATTTTTTTGAAGGAAGCAGGGGAAAACTACTTTATAGTTGGTTGGCCTACTCTCTAAACTGAATAATATAAGGTGAACACTTTTCAGTGGTGAAGTGTAGTTTACTTAACTAATTTCCTATTGACAGACATTTACGTTGTCTACAATTTTTCACTCTAAATAACACTGTAAAAAATACGTATACAGATAGACACTGTTAATAGTCATTTCTGGGTGGTGGAACTCATAGACACCTTTTTCTTTATGCAAACAAGTGTGTATTATTTGTTTTTTTTCTAAACAACTTTAAACAATGCAATGACTATGTTTAAACCTTTGCAACTTTTTTTCATCTTTTCATGGCTTAATGGCTCATATCTTTTTTTTTCTTTTTTCTTTTGAGACGGAATCTCGCTCTGTTGCCCAGGCTGGAGTACAATGGCACCATCTCAGCTTACTGCAAGCTCCGCCTCCCGGGTTCCCGCCATTCTCCTGCCTCAGCCTCCCGAGTAGCTGGGACTACAGGCGCCCACCACCATGCCTGGCTAATTTTTTTTGTATTTTTAGTAGAGACGGGGTTTCACCATGTTAGCCAGGATGGTCTCAATCTCCTGACCTCGTGATCTGCCCGCCTCAGCCTCCCAAAGTGCTGGGATTACAGGCATAAGCCACTGAACCTGGCCTATTTCTTTTAATGTTGTTATTTCAATAGCTTTACAGGTAAAAGTGATTTTTTTGTTGTTGTTACATGGACAGATTGTGTACTGGCAAAGTCTGGGATTTTAGTGTACCCATCACCCAAGTAACATACATTGTACCTAATAGGTAGTTTTTCATCTCTCACAGTCCTCCTATCCTCCCTGCCTCTAAGTCTCCAATGTCCATTATACCACTCAGAATGCCTCTGTGTACCCACAGCTTAGCTCCCACTTATAAGTGACAATATGTGGCACTTGGTTTTCCGTTCCTGAGTTACTTCCTTAGGAAGATATCCTCATTCTTTCTTATGGCTGAGTAGTATTCTATGGTGTGTGTATATCTAGATACACACACACATACACACTCAATTTTCTTCATTCACTGGTTGATGGGCACTCAGGTTGATTCCACGTCTTTGCAATTCTGAATGATACTGTGATAAACACGTGTGCAGGTATCTTTTTGATATAATGACTTCTTCTCCTTTGGGTAGATATCCTGTAGTGGGACTGCTGGATGAAATGATATTTCTACTTTCAGTTCTTTGAGAAATCTCCATACTGTTTTCCATATAGGTTGTACTAATTTACATTCTCACTCACCAGTGAATTTTAGTGTACCCATCACCCAAGCAGTGTATACTGTACGCAATAGGTAATTTTGCATCCCTCACTGCCCTTCTATCCTCCCTCCCATTGAGTCTCCTATCCTCCCTCCTTCTAAGTCTCCAATGTCCATTATACCACTCCGTATGACTTTATGAGCGTAAAAGTTAAGTTCCAAGATGGCCAAACAGGAACAGCTCCGATCTGCAGCTCCCAGCGAGACTGACGCAGAAGATGGGTGATTTCTGCATTTCCAACTGAGGTACCTGGTTCATCTCATTGAGACTGGTGGGACAGTGGGTGCAGTGCACAGAGGCCGAACCAAAGCAGGGTGGGGCGTCGCCTCACCCGGGATGTGCAAGGGGTTGGGGGATTTCCCTTTCCTAGCCAAGAGAAGTCGTGACAGTCTGTACTGGAGGAATCGTACACTCCTGCCTAAATACTGTGCTTTTCCCCCAGTCTTCGCAACCGGCAGACCAGGAAATACCCTCCTGTGCCTGGCTCAGCGGGTCCCAAGTCAGTGGAGCCTTGCTGACTGCTAGCGCAGCAGTCTAAGACTGACCTGCCATGAGCTGCAGCTTGGCAGGTGGAGGGGTATCCGCAATTGCTGAGGCTTGAGTAGGAGGTTTTGTGCTCACAGTGTAAACAAAGAGGCCTGGAAGCTCAAACTGGGTGGAGCCCACCACAGCTCAGCAAGGCCTACTGCCTCTCTAGATACAACCTCTCTGGGCAGGGCATATCAGAACAAAAAGCAGCAGACAGCTTTGGCAGACCTAAACGTCCTAGTCTGACAGCTCTGAAGAGAGCAGTGGTTCTCCCAGCATGGCGTTCAAGCTCTAAGAAAGGACAGACTGCCTCCTTAAGTGGGTCCCTGACACCCGTGAAGCCTGACTGGGAGATACCTCCCAGTAGGGGCCAACAGACACCTCATACAAGTGGGTGCCCCTCTAGGTTGAAGCTTCCAAAGGAAGAATCAGGCAGCAATATTGGTTGTTCTGCAGCCTCCACTGGTGATTCCCAGGCAAATGGGGTCTGGAGTGGACCTCTAGCAAACTCCAACAGACCTGCAGCTAAGAAGCCCAACTGTTAGAAAGAAAACTAACAAACAGAAAGGATTAGCATCAACATCAACATCAACAAAAAGCACATCCACACCAAAACCCCATCTGTAGGTCACCAACATCAGAGACCAAAGGTAGATAAAAACACAAAGATGTGGGGGAAACCAGAGCAGAAAAGCTGAAAATTCCAAACACCAGAGAGCCTCTTCTCCTCCAAAGGACTGCAGCTGCTCGCCAGCAAGGGCACAAAACAGGACGGAGAATGAGTTTGATGAATTGACAGAAGTAGGCTTTGGAAGGTCGGTAATAACAAACTTCACTGAGCTAAGGGAGCATGTTCTAACCCATAGCAAAGAAGCTAAACCTCATCTAACCTGAAAAAAGGTTAGATGAATGGCAAACCAGAATAAACAGTGTAGAGAAGACCTTAAATGACCTGATGGAGTTGAAAACCACAACACGAGAAATTCGTGACGCATGCACAAGCTTCAATAGCCGATTCGATCAAGTGGAAGAAAGGGTATCAGTGATCGAAGATCAAATTAATGAAATAAAGTGAGAAGACAAGATTAGACCAAAAAAAGTAAAACAAACAAACCAAACCTCCAAAAAATATGGGACTATGTGAAAAGACCAAATCTACGTCTGATTGGTGTTCGGTACCTGAAAGTGCGAGAATGGATTCAAGTGAGAAAACACTCTGCAGGATATTATCGAAGAGAAATTCCTCAACCTAGCAAGGCAGGCCAACATTCACATTCAGGAAATACAGAGAACACCACAAAGATACTCCTCGAGAAGAGCAACCCCAAGACACACAATTGTCAGATTCACCAAGTTTGAAATGAAGGAAAAAATGTTAAGGGCAGCCAGAGAGAAAGGCTGGGTTACCGACAAAGGGAAGCCCATCAGACTAACAGTGGATCTCTCGGCAGAAACCCTACAAGCCAGAAGAGAGTGGGGGCCGATATTCAATATTCTTAAAGAAAAGAATTTTCAACCCAGAATTTCCTATCCAGCCAAACTAAGCTTCATAAGTGAAGGAGAAATAAAATCCTTTACAGACAAGCAAATGCTGAGAGATTTTGTCACCACCAGGCCTGCCTTGCAAGAGTTCCTGAAGGAAGCAGTAAACATGGAAAGGAACAACCGGTACCAGACACTGCAAAAACATACCAAAATGTAAACACCATTGACGCTACAAAGAAATTGCATCAATTAACGGGCAAAATAACCAGTTAATATCATAATGGCAAGATCAAATTCACACATAACAATATTAACCTTAAATGTAAATGGGCTAAATGCCCAAATTAAAAGACACAGACTGGCAAACTGGATAAAGAGTCAAGACCTATTGGTGTGCTGTATTCAGGAGACCCATCTCATGTTTAAAGACACACATAGGCTCAAAATAAAGGGATGGAGGAAGATCTACCAAGCAAATGGAAAGCAAAAACAAAAAAAGCAGGGGTTGCAATCCCGGTCTCTGATAAAACAGACTTTAAACCAATAAAGATCAAAAGAGACAAAGAAAGCCATTACATAATGGTAAAGGGATCAATTCAACAAGAAGAGCTAACTATCCTAAATATGTATGCACCCAATACAAGAGCACCCAGATTTATAAAGCAAGTCCTTAGAGAGCTACAAAGAGACTTAGACTCCCACACAATAATAATGGGAGATGTTAAGATCCCACTGTCAATATTATATCAATGAGACAGAAGGGTAACAAGGATATCAAGGACTTGAACTCAGCTCTGGACAAATTGGACCTAACAGACATCTACAGAACTCTCTACCACAAATCAACAGAATATACATTCTTTGGCAGGGTGCGGTGGCTCAGGTCTGTAATCCCAGCACTTTGGGAGGCCGAGGTGAGCGGATCACGAGGT